ACTTCGTAATCAACAGTTTATGATCTTCGGAGATACAGTTGATTCCAGCTATATACATTGGCCATTGAAGCATCATTACACAAACTTTTTTTGATGTCAAGCTTTCCAGATATGACTCCAAAAAAACCATTGGTTCCATTAACTTACATATCAAGGATTGAACTTGAGCTGATTTATATGATAATTGGAAGCAATGGGTAATAATTGTTATAAGTGACGCTAAGACATAAATCTGATGGCAGATATCCATCCAACTGATAACCTGCTGCACATTGTTAATCATAACAGTCTCAAGTAACAAATTATCTGGAATAATTCCATCTTTAAAATCCAGAGGTTGTAGAAAGTATTTTTTGGTAACGAACTCAATATTTGTCTGTGCATAAAATTCAGATATTAATCTGATATACTCAAACGTATCCTTAGGTTTAAAATTATTACCCTTGGATCTAGTCTTATTTAAAATTTTTATTAAATCTCTCAAATGAGGTATACAAGAATTATGATAGCCATATAATAAATTGAAGCCGTCATCTCTTACTATCCCTAGATCCCTTAAAGCCTTTACTTCATGTGGATCACCAGCGCAAATTAATAAATCTATTTCCGATTCCTTAAGTGTACCCCCAAATTTAGAACTTAAACCTGCTAAAGTTTCATAGGATGCAAATATGAATTTACAGAATATCATTAATTTGGAATTTCTTAGCCTCGGATACTTGAGACTATTTGATGAATATCTTAATAGTATGTCTTTCGCGCCCCTCAAATGTGGTCTCCACTCTTGTTTGGAACTCAATGCATTTATACCAATCAATAATAAGACAGTGATTAACACAGAATCTATATTAGATGCCCATGATTTCTTATCCTTATCATCTCTATTCTTCAATGATGGTTCAAGCATTTTCAAACATTTTGAAAGATACTTAAAAAATGCTTCCTCATCCTCCGGTAAATTGGTTTTTTCAAAACATGCTTTAGCTCCCAGTGCCAATATACCTGCTAGAAGAAACGGTTCTTCTGATGCACATTTAAGCAAAATGTCTCGCAATGGATTGAAAAATGCTTTTACTTTGTCATCATAAGAGTTGAAAGGAAGAATTATTTCCGCAAATATATCGTAAAATCCTGCAAGATATTTTTCTTCTCTTTTAGTTTTAACTTTGATAAAGTCTATAGGAATATGTCTTGGTATTGGTTCATCAAACTCTTCATTACTATTAGCATTCATATTCAATTCTCCATCAGGTGCATCTTTATCCTTAGATATGAGCTCATCAAAGAAAGTGTCCACTGATTGAAAATCATTTTCATGAAATTTCGTATCAAAATTAGCTTCGAACATAAAGCTGCTAACAATATCGTTTAAGTCAGTAGCTAATAAATTAAGGTCTTCCGGATTATCATAGAATCCATCCGAATTTAAAAGTAGCATATTGTTATCGATTGGGTGACCTGAAGTGGGTGTAGCATATGCAGAGCCTGAACGCTCATCAGACAAGTTTTGAAAGCTATTAGGATCATTGAAAATAGTGGAAGACAGAGATGGCGATTTTCTTTCAGGAGTATCAGCAGTTGAACTTGTGCCATTGATGACATTTCGATCAATTCTTTGATGTGTATCGTTTAGTAAATTTATAATCGATGGCGGAGCTAATCTAGATGGATATAATTCTCTAATGTTAGATTGTGGTTGTATATATGCGGCAGTCTGTTGTTGATTATTCCGAATATTAGGATTTATATGCGTGTCCATGGTTGCTCGATGGCCATACGAATTAAAGGGCATCGATCCTTCAGGTCCTCTGTAAGAACCATAATTATCCATAAGTTTCCGTGACACTCTTAGAACTTTTTCTCCAATCTCAGGGTATGAGCAGCTCTTTTTCAACCTTCTGCATTGCCAGCAAGCTGGTCTTACCTCGTCACATTTTATCTTACGTCGCTTGCATTCTCTACATCCGTTTTTGCTATAATCTCTTTTTGTCTTCTTTTTTTCATTATCAAACTTCAAAATACCTGTAGACATATTGATTTAATAACATCTAAAGCAAATGTTAAGCATAAACGATATCCTAATAATATATCATCAATAGTTCGTTAACGATATGTTGAATTCACTATTTCAATATCAAGAATGTCGTGTGAACAACAGTTTTTGTCTATAACCCTCCTCTTATCAATGATGGTTACTTTTAAATGACAAGTGAAATAAACGTAACCGAATAGCATAGGATTCATTCTCCCTTCTTGAACTATCCAAATAACATTTCAAGGTTCTGGCTTTAAAGAATTATTCAAGTTATTTCTTTTCCTAGAGGAATCCCAAAATAGATATGGATGCTGACTAGAGTTTCAGGATTATTCTTTCTTAACCATATTTTAGATAATAGACTATTAAATCTTCTTATTTGCTCTATTATCGACATTTATAAATCTAATTTTGCAACATATCCCAAAATATATGTCTATCCTCAAATGCGCTTCTTTGGTCGCATTATGAATATGCAACAGAACGATTCGGTGAATTTTGCGCTTTCAACACGATATTACTGAATGCTACAAAACGAAAACCGCATGTAACGTTTGTAATAATTAACCAGTTCGTCTTTTCCTGTAAAGAAGCCGAATAATATATTAGTCAAATATATATGTATATACGAATCCTTAACGCGATACTTGCGTTCTTAATAAAAGTTACTGAATTGAAAGATACTATTGTTTTTTCCTCTTGGCATTACCATCATTAGCTTCATCGTTCGACCTTTTGTTAGACGAAGCATCGTTCAGATCGGAGTTCACTGAGTTACTAGTCTGCGAATTTGAAGCATTAGAGTTATCTAAGAATTCGTTGACATCAAACTCATCTATATCAGGCTTTTCATAATCGTCTGAGTTCTGTTTGTGATTTTGATGTAAGCTTTGCAAATTTTGTAACTGCTGTTGTTGCTGTTGCTGTTGTTGCTGCTGAGCTGCTAATTTCTGAATCCAATCCTGAACTTGCTGGATCGACTGACCCTGTTTATAAATATTTTGCTCCAATCCATTCATTACTTCAGATGTATTATTTGACGAATCTAATGGTGCACCAGATTTGATGTATTGTTGACCAGGAGTACTAGGCGCGCCAAAGTATGAATTATTTTGATTATTTAACTCTGGGAAATAATGCCTTGGAGAAGAAACACCCGGTTCATTATTCATTAACTGCTGGTATATTTTATTTACATTACTATTAGGTGAATCATTAGGGGTGTTTTCATATGACCTAATAATCTCCTCAATTGAACCACTATTGCTATTCCTTTGTGCTGCTTCTTTCGGAGAAGGATTATTTGATGGAGACTTTTGATATGCTTGATCCATTAACATTAAACGAGGTCTGTTAAACGGACTTGGGGGTTGTGACGGCTGATCTGTCGTTGAGGGAACCTGTATAGGTTGGTGTGGTGCTTGGTTATGTGTTTGTGGAGGTGGCTGGTAATTATAAGTAGTCATTTGGTTATTGGAGTTAAAATCATCAAGGCCAATTGAACCGTTATCAACTTCTAATAGTTTTCCAGCTGAGTTACCATAAACTGCAGCTAAGAATTTTAAAATCTTCTCTAAAGTTTGAGCCTGCTGTTGGTGTCTTTCCCTAGTCATAAAATTTTCTTGCCATAAGGTTTTATTATCATTCCTTACCCTTCTTAAGTCTTCACTTATAGCAAATTGATTGACCTTAATTTGATCCAATTCATTCAAAACAGATTGAAAGTTGAGATTTCCAGCTTCCAAGTGGTCCGATTCCTGACTAATGGATTTATTTCTAACGATTTTATCTAATAAGTCTTCCCTACCTCTTATGAAATAAGGATTCTCGAATTGCCAAATCTCATCGTTCGACTTGTCGTCTTTATTAAGAGTACCATTGCTTATATCTTGCACTTTATGCCATCCATACATGTTCAATTGTCTAACAAAACTGGCAAAATTATTATGCTTAAAATATTTAGGTAAGATAAGCTTCATAAATTCTTCTCTGTGAAATACCTGAAATGTCTTTCCATTGTCATTCCATCTAATATAATCATGGTTTGCAGGATCATTCACCATTGACCAGATCTTCATTACAAATGCAGGTCTAGTTTTCGAACTGGGGGCTTCTTTGCGTTTTTTTGTGGTTGTAGTCACCACATTTGACTTCTTATCCTGGCTATCACTGACCTTTGGCAACGATAACGTGGGTGGTATATTTAAATTATTCGGTATAACAGATTCCGATAGCGGCGCTAATGGTGGTAACGAAGTCGTATATTTTGGTTGGTTAACCGTTGTCAATTGGTTATAGTCATTGGATGATAATATTGGTGTCAACCCGCTTGGTTCTTGATGGTTCGAATGAGTTTCTGGTTGCAGTTGCAGTATTGAAGAAAGTGATGAAAGCTGTTCTTGCGGTTGATGATGTCGATTATGTTGGGTATGTTCATGTTGTGAGTTATCGTATATATCATTATAGTAATTATGTGGTGTATTTCCAGTAGAATTCATTAAGTTCTGGTCATATTGACTATTATCTCTATTTATGACTTGAATGTCATCGCTGTTATCATTATCAAAGATTTCTATTATAGGATCATCATCGTAGCTGGACATTCTCACCATAATAGTTAATATATATTATCCCTATTCCAAATTATCCTTTGGTAGCAATCTTCAGTTCTCCGAAGTATTGATCTAGTTTTGGAACGTTAAGAAAGCTGGTAATTCAATGGAGTGATATATTTTAATTTTTAAATGCCCAGTAGTGCGATAACCGATAAATTAAATTTCATATTTTATGTTGCATATAAATGTAGCAATATCTAAGATACTTTGGTCATATAGGGCCTCTAGACGTAAAAGATCATAGTTCAACGTTTGCTAAACGTAACGAGGAACTTTATATTTAATTATATGGTTAAATCATAAATATTATTGATAAGTAGCTATTTACATAGAGAACTATTTACATATATTTACTTTCTACAACAACTAGAAGTTTTTCCGTTGCTTGAATTAATAGCCAAACTTTGCGACGAATTGCTAGATACATCCTCACTGGAAGAATTAATTATTGGAGTAACTGTCAGATTATTACTAGTGTTATTACCGTCTCCTATGGAATTAATTAACTCTTTATAATCTCCCGGCATCATATGATTAAATAAATCATCTAGCTTCATCCCATTGATAATCCCATGTGTCTCGCAATTGAAACAATCACAATCATTCGAGCAGGAGCAAACGTTGGATTCTATATCTTTCTCTATTTGAGGACCTTCTTGTGTGTATCCCTGTAAAGGTCTTTGTATAGGTCTTTGATTTGCAAGTTGTTGCTGGCCTAAGTCTGTACGTGAAGTATACATGTGATCATTTAATAAGTTCATATAATTATTCGATGTTTGATTATTCGATGTGGCACTTGCGTTGGAAATAAGCAGATCACCATTTTGGATATTGCCCAACTGCGGATGGGAATGAACATTCTGTGTACCACTTTGGGTGTCCAAAATGTCATTCGCAAAGACATTATTGATATCTGGGTCTGAATTAGTAACCCCCTTAGATATATTATTCTCTACCTGGCTATTAGTCATATCACTTAACTTATTTGCGTAATTACTCATTATTTCATGTGGCATTTTTATTTCGTTGTTGTTTGCATAATTGATTAAATTACTAAACTGGTTGTTGTTCAAGCTATTCATACTAACGTTACCATGGACAAAGCACCCTTCACAGGCACAATTACTATCACATCCACAAGACCCTGGTATTGAGCAAGAGGGAATTTTAACCACGTCATATAGTAAGTTATCGTTACCGCTGTTAACTTTGTCATTATCTCTATCATCATCATTATCTATAATTACCGAATGCCTATTATCACTAATCTCGTCTTCGTCATCATTCTCATTTTTTATTTGTATCAGTTTAGAATAGTCGATAAATTTACGTTCATTCTCCGGCTTCATATGCTTTTTAAGATAAGTCTTCAAAATCTTCAGTTTATTGATATTCTTATTCGTCTTATTTGAACAGCATCCGCATGACTTTTTCGGTTTGCTTATTCCATTCAAACAGCACGAAGTTGTGTTAATAAAACTATTGCTATTAATGATCGGTAACGGTGGCTTACTACTTTCATCTACCGTGATATCTTCCTGATATGGGCCAATAATCCGACCATTATTTAAGTCAATTACTTGTTTCGGAGAAGCCTTCAATATTACTACCGGTATTTTCTTATTCTCACAATTTCCCTTGCCATGTCCTGTACCACTTTTATCATCTTTGTCTATTTCTTCTGCAAAAACTGCAATTCTATGATTCGGGTTACCATTAGCATGAACATTTGGTCTACCCTTAGATCTGACTTGAAGCAATGGCCTAGTATGATGTCGACACAGACTTGATCTGTGTCCTCGTATACACTCGATACACGAGTATTTGACATCGTCTATCAATATCATGGTTGTATTAGAAATATAGATTAAAGAGTCTTTTTTGTAACAAAATTTGTGTTTTATATTTTTTATTGAGCAATTTGTTTTCCAAATCAGAATTAGGTCCTTTTTTTATTTATTACTTGCATTTATTTAGACTTATTATACAAAAGGATTATTTATAACAGGAATAGTAGACTTCCTACAGTTTGGAGTGGTATTAAACGTTATCTATTCCCTTAAGGTGCTTTTTTGTGTTGTTCCAATATGCCTTCTGGAACACAATATCTTCAACTCAACGCAAAATTCTTTTGTAGACTAGAATTCTTAGTGTAAAATCTCATTTTTACTTTTGATACAATATGTTTATTTGTTCAACAAGCATATAACTAAAACGTTCATTAATAGATATCGTATACCTATTTTGCACTTATCTGCATTTTTTATGCCTTTATGGCAAATATCGTCAAAAACTGCGATTACAAGAATATCTGAAAAACATCTTATTATCATTTTCTTCAATATTCAAAATATTTTATAAAATAACTGGTATCTTAATATCGCCCTAGACTTAGATTTATACATTAGTTAGTCAACAATTTTAAAGCTAAGCACATCCCTTAGCGATAATTGATGATTTAATTAATAGCTGCAAAATAGCAAAAAGTCTCCATAAAACGGTTTTTAGCACTATTAGAAACTAAGACACTGCCATTAGTTCATATATTTAAATATAACCATTGCAGATTATATTTATGAAATATTCACTACTTAAATTCATTTACATTAAAAAGGCCAACTTCCTGATAGAAAGGACAATAAATAAAAAGAAAACTAATGAAGAACGGTCAAATAATTCAAAAAATCATAAACCTATAAGGAACGAAAGTACCATACTTATTGACAGAATGGACGTTATGGTATAGTGAAATATGTTCCATCCATCCTAATCTCGTAAATGTAATAGAAACTAAATTAACACACACACGACCATTAAAAAAACTATCAATTTTTTTATATGGTGTTCGCCAGAGAGTAATAACTTCATCGATAAAGTTTATGCTAAAGACATTAGTCCATAAAAGAATTATGTCTACTTCAAGTAATAATTGGCCAGCATCGAAGGTCAGAAGTACTTTTTTAGATTATTTTAAAGTTAAACAAAACCATACTTTTGTTCCATCATCTTCAGTTGTTCCTCACAATGATCCTACGTTATTATTTGCTAACGCAGGTATGAATCAATATAAGCCAATTTTCTTGGGTACTGTTGATCCAGCTTCGGATTTTTCAACCTTGAAAAGGGCTGTCAACTCACAAAAGTGTATCAGAGCTGGTGGTAAACATAATGATTTGGAAGATGTTGGTAGAGATTCATATCACCATACGTTTTTTGAAATGTTGGGTAACTGGTCTTTTGGTGACTATTTTAAGAAAGAAGCTATTTCATGGTCTTGGGAATTGTTGACAGAGGTTTATAAATTGGAAAAAGATAGATTGTATGTGACATATTTCGGTGGTGATGAAAAGCAGGGATTACAACCAGATTTAGAAGCTAAGAACTTCTGGTTAGCTGTTGGTGTTGCTGAAGATCATATCTTACCAGGTGACGTTCAAGATAACTTCTGGGAAATGGGTGACCAAGGTCCTTGTGGTCCATGTTCTGAAATTCACTATGACAGAATTGGTGGTAGAAACGCATCCAGTTTAGTCAATATGGACGATCCAAATGTTTTAGAAGTTTGGAATATTGTTTTCATGCAATACAACAGAGAACCAGATTCGTCTTTGAGATCTTTACCTGCTAAACATATTGATACTGGTTTAGGGTTTGAAAGATTAGTGTCAATCTTGCAGAACAAGTCGTCCAATTATGACACCGATGTTTTCCAACCAATTTTCAACAAGATCAGAGAAATTACCGGTGTCAGGCCTTACACAGGTAAATTCGGTTCTGAAGATAGAGACGGTATTGATACTGCTTATAGAGTTATCGCTGATCACGTTAGAACTTTAACATTTGCTATTACTGATGGTGGAGTTCCAAATAATGAAGGTAGAGGTTATGTCTTGAGAAGAATTTTGAGAAGAGGTGCACGTTATGTTCGTAAATATATGAATTACCCTATTGGCTCCTTCTTTCAACAATTAGTTCCAGTGGTCATAGAACAGAATTCTGAGATTTTTCCTGAAATTTTGAAAAATCAACAAGATTTGACTGAAATTTTGAATGAAGAAGAATTATCCTTTGCTAAGACGTTAGATAGAGGTGAAAAATTATTTGAGCAATACGCTATTATTGCTTCAAAAACACCAGAACAAACTTTATCTGGTAAAGACGTCTGGAGATTATATGATACTTATGGATTCCCAGTTGATTTAACCAGATTAATGGCAGAGGAAGCTGGTTTGAAAATAGATGAAGAAGGATTCGAAAAGGCTAAGGAAGAATCAAGGGAAGCTTCAAAGGCCACCAATAATAAGGCCGGCGTTTCGTTAATCAAATTGGACGTCCACGCATTATCAGAATTGGATGGTAACGATAAGGTTCCAAAGACCGACGACTCTTTCAAATACGACATAGAAAATATTAAAGCTAATGTTGTTGCCATCTATAACGGTTCATCTTTTGTTGATTCCATTTCCGAAGCTGGTTCTCAAGCTGGTATATTATTAGACAAAACCCCATTCTACGCCGAACTGGGTGGTCAAGAATACGATACTGGTAAATTAGTCATTGATGGAGTTGCAGAATTTAGCGTTTCTAATGTTCAAGTTTATGGTGGTTATGTCTTGCATACTGGTTCATTACTTGAAGGATCTCTAAAGTTAGAAGATGAAATTATTGCTACCTATGATGAATTACGTAGATGGCCAATCAGAAATAACCATACTGGTACACACGTCTTAAACTTTGCCTTAAGAGAAGTCTTGGGCGATAACGTTGAACAAAAAGGTTCTTTAGTTGCCCCAGAAAAATTGAGATTTGATTTCAGTCATAAGCAAGGTTTAACTCCAAATGAATTATTAAAGGTTGAAACTATTTCCAATGACTATATTAAAGAAAACAAGCAAGTTTATGCCAAAGATATTAGGTTGAGTGATGCTAAGGAAATTAATGGTTTAAGAGCAGTTTTCGGTGAAACCTATCCAGATCCAGTCAGAGTTGTATCCATCGGTACTTCTGTTGAAGACTTATTGAAGGAACCTAAAAACTCAGAATGGCATAAAGTTTCCATTGAATTATGTGGGGGTACACACGTTGCTAAAACAGGTGATATTAAAGATTTAGTCATCATTGAAGAATCCGGTATTGCTAAGGGTATCAGAAGAATTGTTGCTGTCACAGGCACAGAAGCGCATCAAGTCCAAAAAGTTGCTCTGGATTTCGACAAGGAATTGGACCATGCTATGGGTTTAGCTTCTGGTCCAATCAAGGAAACTAAAGCTAAAGAATTGGGTGTCAGTTTGAAAAAATTATCTATTTCGGTTTTGGATAAGCGTAGCTTGAATGATAAGTTTAATAAATTAGACAAGTCCATCAAAGACCAATTAAAGGCTTTACAAAAAGAAGAATCAAAGAAAGTCTTAGAAGTTGTTAATGAGTGGTTGAATGCAGAAGATGCAAAGGATTACTTCGTCAGCTTTGTACCAATCAGTGCTAATGCTAAGGCTATCACTGAAGCCATTAATTTGTTGAAAAAGCAACACAAATCCAAATCTATCTACTTGATTACGGGTTCGGATAAGGTCGCCCACGGTTGTTACGTTTCCGACGAAGCTATTGCTAAGGGTGTTGATGCCACTAACTTGGCATCCGCTGTTTCCTCCAAGGTTGGTGGTAAAGCCGGTGGTAAAGGTAACGTTGTTCAAGGTATGGGTGACAAGCCTCAAGGTATTGACGAAGCAATTAACGAGCTTAAAAAGTTATTTGCAGAAAAATTATAAATCGACCAATGTAAGTAGTTATTGATTATCAATATATAGGACAATATTAATATATAAAACCCACAGAAGATTAGTGTAAAATCACAAGCATTGAGAAGCTTTTCCGATTTTTCTCCGAGATAATACACAAAATCGTATTTTTCAGTAGTTATTTCTTAATCAAGTAATCTAGGAAGAAGAAATTTAGTCGTGTGCAGGTAAGCTGACTTACTAATATCAAAAATTAATTCTACCGCCATCAACAAAACTATTGTAACCAGAAGAAACTTCATTAATAATTAGATTTTCTAGATTATTTACGTGATAATTCCCAGCGTTTACCTTATTTATTAGTGACATTTAGTTATAGAACATGGGAAATAGCCCGTCTAAAAATGATCCTCTGCCGACTAATTCATCTGCCAATCAAACATTAAATCAATCATCCAGCTCCAACGGGGAGTTAGAATCAGATGAATCCATACCCCCGCTATCGGGTTTATCTGGTAATAAATTAAATGGAAGTTCCAAAACTTCCGCCATCAAAATTGTTAATAAAAACGATAACAAATTCAATTCCAATTATTATAATACCAATAGCAACACCCCGTCCAGCATTTATAAGAAAAATGGCGTATCGATATCACCGAAGAAGAATAGTAAGTCGAATGGGAATCATGGTTTAGCATTAGACTTGGAAATAGGGGCTTCTATGGCAAAATTATTGAGCAATAGCTCACCATCTGCTCCAGGTAGTAACAAGTTGTCATTACCTCCTCAGCAAGAATATAGTTCATCTTTTGATAGTGAAAAGTCTGAGGTTTCAACAGTATCTCCTGTATTTACAACGTTGGGTGAATACAAGGATGAAGATCTGTTACTGTCTTTGGGATCCTCAGGACCAAATGATAACTTTGGTGTTGGCAAAGGCGATTTAGACTTAGATACAATCGTAGAAATATCATTGGAATCAACTCCTGAACCCCGGAAAATTCCTGATAAGAGTATCGACGAACCTAAAAAACATTTAGATACGCAGATTAGCCTGACTAGCTCTAACTCTTCATTACAATCACCAGTGGAGAATACAAACGTTAAGAGACCTCAAGTCAATGTTGAAGAGATTATCGACAGATTATTAGAAATTGGCTTGAAAAGACCAAATAATTCGTCGGCGAATTCGTCACGTAAGAATAAGGACAAGTTACCTTTGACTTCTCAAGAAATCAAGTACATTTTGAATAAATCTCGTTCAATTTTCTTAGATCAACCAACGCTTTTAAGGTTATCACCTCCTGTAAAAATTGTTGGTGATATCCACGGACAGTTTCATGATTTAATCAGAATTTTTAATAGCTGTGGTTATCCTCCTTATACAAATTATTTATTTTTAGGTGATTATGTTGATCGTGGATATAAATCTTTAGAAACCATTTTGCTTTTATTGTGCTACAAAATAAAGTACCCTGAAAACTTTTTCATGTTGAGAGGTAATCATGAGTCTGCAAACATTACTAAAATTTATGGGTTTTATGATGAATGCAAAAGAAGGTTACCTAGCATTTCAGGCAATCATAAATTATGGAAAACTTTCGTCGACGTCTTCAACGCTTTGCCAATAGCGGCCACTATTAATGATAAGATATTTTGCATTCATGGTGGTCTATCTCCAGACCTAACTGATTTGAAGCAAATTGAAAATATTAAAAGACCAACTGATATCCCTGATAATGGGTTATTGGCTGATTTATTATGGTCTGATCCTGATCCTCTGATTAAGAATTTTTCCCCAATTAATTGGCCCAAAAATGACCGTGGTGTTTCTTACTGTTTTGGAAAGAAGCATGTAGATTACTTCTGTTTGAAATTTAAAATGGATTTGATTGTGAGAGGTCATATGGTGGTTGAAGATGGCTACGAATTTTTTGATAAAAGAAAATTGGTCACTGTTTTCCTGGCTCCTAATTATTGTGGTGAATTTGATAATTATGGAGCTATTATGAGTGTTGATAAATCGCTATGCTGTTCTTTTGAGTTGATTAAACCACAATAATTCAAAGGGACAATCATCTAGCCTTTTTTTCTTACATTGTTGCTATTATTGTGAATTTTGAAGTTGAATTTGAAACATTTTATTACAATTAGTTTAATGAAGTTTAACTATTTTTAATGACGTTTTATGAATCAACTCTTTTATTTCTATTATTATATATATATATATGTATTTGTGTTTACACTTAATTTTCTTATGGAATTTCTTTTAGCTTTAAAATTAGCTTTAAAGAGCCTCTTTTCTAAATAAATGGATACAATTATTTTACAAACTTCTAACACTTAAATGAACTTGAATTAAATTAAATTAAATTAAACACATATATACAGGATTATGAAAAAGGTTCGTAGTGAAAGGAAGCAAATGAAGCTTTTTCAATTATTTCTCTTGAAAATTGAAAAAATAGACCCTTTTCTAAATCTGAACATCCAATATAACGTTAAAACAAAGCAAAGGTTGAAGGCAATATAGACACAATAAAACCCAATATTTCTCCATCTGTTGGAAAATTCTGCGCCAACTGAACTCAAATATTCATCAGCGATACTATACGTACAATATCCACATTCTTTAGTAGCTTGTGGGTCTGATAAATAACCTCCTCTAGCTTTAACGAAGTCCCCCGCAAATTGTTGGCATGTCTGACCAGACGGAGGATTAAAGTAAGCAAGCTCAACGTCACTACAATGGACTTTTCTACCATGTAAAAACGCAGTTATCAAATTTTGAATGAAGTAAGTATATGGACTCACCTTATTCATAAACGTCCAAAACCCAGGCATCAAATTCACTGGTTGAACAACACCACTAAACGCAACCACAAATGTATAAAAGAATGAAGTTAAAACTGCAGCTGATTCCAAGTCTGGTGCAATATAGAGAATCAATAAACCAAAAGTTGCAACGAAACCTTGTAAAAATATACCTTGAGTCAAATAAAAGATTCCTGAATGTGGAGGTGATGTATCAGCCTGAGTTGGGAAATATAATGAAACGAACATAATTGTAGAGCCGAATATCAAGTAAGGCAATTCATTAATACATTGCGCAATTACCATTAACGACCAATGATACGTATTCGATAATTTTTCTCTTCCTTCAAATAAATCACGACCTTTGATGGCATGTTCTTGAATTTGATTAATGACGGGTGCAGAAACAACAACAGCTAAGAATCCAGCAAACATACCATTTTGCATGCCAGTAACAGAATGCTTTAAACCGAAGAATGTAAACCCAATAAATAAACCAGCCATAGTCATAAGCATAATTTTAGACATGATATACTCAGGGTTTCTCCAAAACGTCAAGGCATTCCTACGAACAACTATAATGAATTGATACCAATAAGGGACAGCATAAGTTGACCTTAATTGCTTGATTTCCTTCGGATCATTCACATCATCCACTTGCTTAGATAATTCTTCAATGAGTCTATCCCGTTCAATATCAGATGCTCTTTTCTCAGGTGAATTGCACCAAGTCTCAAACCAGTCTTGAGTAACTGAAGCTGTTGCACCAGCTCCAATTGCTTCCAAAATGTATTCTGCTGGATTCTCATGATCATCACATTTCCTTGCACCATTTCCTTCGAAATAATTAACAATTGCATTAGAATGGTCACCAATATCACCGAAATAAACCGTTTGTCCACCCTTTTTCAAAAGTAACAATCTGTCAAATTCTTCAAATAACGTAGCTGAAGGCTGATGAATAGTACACAAAATAGATTGCCCAGCATTAGATAACTCACGTAACAACCTAACAACAGCCCATGCAGACTGTGAATCCAAACCAGACGTTGGCTCATCTAAAAATAATAATAAAGACGGCTTTGCAACCAATTCAACCCCAATTGACAATTTTTTCTTTTGCTCAACATTAAGACCATCCCCGGTTTTACCAACTAAGGCATCAGCATAATCTTCCATGTCTAAGGCCTTAATAATTTTTTCGACATAATCCAATTTTTCAGCGTCATGGGCATCATTAATTCTTCTCAATCTGGCTGAAAAAATCAAAGACTCTCTAACAGTTAACAGCTCAACATGAATATCTTGTTGCTGGACATATCCTGTACGACGTCTGAAAGATAAATCTAATGGTTTACCATTTACCAACATATCACCAGTAACAACACCAACGTCAATACGCTGAGCTAATGTGTTAAGTAAAGTGGTTTTACCTGCACCTGATTCACCCATTAAAGCTGTCAATGTACCAGGAATACAATAACCAGAAACAGAATCTAACAATTTACGGTCGCTACCATCATATTTAACAACATAGTTTACATCCTTCCAAACAAACACATCTCTAGATTTTAAGTTTTTAAAGATTTTAAGCTTATCCTCTGAATCTACATTGTTAGTTTTTTCTAAAGTATTCGAAGACGAAGAACTAGTTTCAAGGTCACCAGACGTCTGACCTTTGTCTTGAGGTAAAACAATAGAATCAGGAACTTTACCTCTCACAAACATTAGTCTATCACCACCCCCACTAATAGGTCTAATAAACTCGACACCAAGAGCCTTCACACAAGTAAAGAGTACTAAGAACCCAATCATAATCCCAAAATTTCTCCAAACGTGAGAAAAACTGTAAGTGAAAGCAACATTTAAATAGTTGTCACCAGAAACCCAGCTTTGACCAGGAACCGAACCTTTGAATGCACACACTTGACTGCCTTGACCTAAGTTTTCATATCCTGGCCCGCTGGGTGTCAAATACATTCCATCACAGTCCATTTTACGTCCATGAAACTCAGTAGCAATAATTGCTTCGAACGCGTATAAAACAGGATTAATATACGAAATCCACTTAAACCAAGGGTGCATAGAAGGTCTTTGGATCATGTATGATGAATACATAAGAGAGGCTAATACCAAAACACCAGCTATGGCATTTGCACCAGATATGGTTTTGTTTAAAGAAGCCACTGCCTCAAATAATCCAGCCATAGTCAATGAAAGTAGGAAAACAAACAAAACGCATGTAAAAAACTTGCCTGCATCAGATGCTAAATTAGACAAGAAATAAATAATTAACACGAACAAAAACGTAACAACTAACGTGACAGGAATAGATGTAACAACACTAGCCAATGCATCAGCTGATGGATGATACATCGAATAATTTTTCTGCTTCATTAAAATACTCCTACTACTGAATGAAGCCGAAACTTCGGCCAAACCCATTAATGAAACGTATAAAGCCGCAAAAAAGATAACACCACCTCTTGAGAAAGCTCCACTAACTGAATCTGGCGTATTATAATAAAGTGAACCCGCAATAAGACCTTGACTGACAGCAGCTACAAGTTGAGTGATTGTATAGGCTTTATCACCCCAAAGTCTTTGGAAACCTCTAGTTGTACATAACTTCAATTGTTGCAAATAATTAACAGTAAACTTAGAATTAGTTCTCAGGTACTTCATTTTTTCTTGCTTAAGAGAATGGTAATAACCCTTACGTGTTTCATCTTCATTGATCGAATCATTATATTCTTGGATTTCTTGCTGCAAAATTCTGTATTCTGCAGATTTTAACCAATAATCTTCGAATTCTTCTGCCGTACTAGGAACTTTATTCTCCATCCCAGGCTTAGCATATCTACCAATAGGATCTGTTACCGCCGTTAAAAATTCGGCAGTTGATTGTCTTGGAGGGCATTTATATCCCATATCTTCAAAATATTTCTTAGCTTCCATTACAGGGCCAAAATATACTTGTCTCCCTTTATATAATACAGTAACTTTATCAAACGTTTCGTAAATATTTTCACTCGCCTGGTAGATGGCAACAAATGCCGTATTCTTCAATAAGTTCGTGGATGTTCTAATTGCATGTGCATACTCTAATGCAGTAGAAGCATCCAAACCTCTCGTAGCATTATCCCAACAGTAAATTGAACCACGGCATGCCAACGCCTCTGCAATCGAAACTCTCTTACGTTCACCACCAGAGACACCTCTAACAAAGTCATTACCAACTTTTGTATGATAAGTGTGTCTAAGCCCGAATACGGTCGCCAAAATCTCCTTCAAAGCATCAATAAATTTTTCTCTGCTGACATCATTAACTCTTAATTCAGGCGTCTTACACGCAATGGCAAATCTCAATGTTTGCTCAACGGTTAAATGTGGGAAATGAACATCTAATTCGGGGACGTATACTAAATCATTTTTGAAATTCTTTAACATTTCCTTCTGGGTAATGCCATCGTACCTAATATCACCATCTAAGCCTGTAAATAAGTCTAAATCAGTACCACCAATTGCTTTCAAAAGCGACGAGCAACCTGCCCCAGGCCTTCCCAAGACTAAAACCATTTCTCCACTTCTAGCATACCCGTTGACGTTACTTACGATCTTTCTGTCCTGAATTTTACGCTTGGCCATTGCTCTCTGAATCCCTCCAATTGGCCCTTTCATCAAATCGTAAACAGTCACAGCAATCGAAAACGATTCATCAACACCATAAACTGTCAAATCCTTAAAGCTGACACCAGATTTTCTCAATTTGATCCCTTGACTCTTTGACGTCTCGATAAAACTCAGCAAAATCTTGTGCAAATCAAAATTGTTTGGGTCTATCTCAATCCTACCATCTCTTGTAGTTCTTCTCGACAACTCTCGAGATAATGTTTCAAGTCTATCCAACACGTCTCTTGAATTTCCACTGGTGATACCTAACCAATTCCAACCTATCGTTGTGTTCTACTGCTTCCTGGTCTGCTCCATAATATTCATTAATACTACTGGACCTTGTTGCACCATCATTAGCATTAGATACAGAATCCGCAGCCATTATTATTGTGCTTTAACTAATAATCCCTTTAGGTGGAAACGTTTTGGATTATCAAGGATAGAAGGTTTTTATATTTGATTTCTAAGCGTTGACTCCATAAACGGCTTTAACATGCGATGATGTAAATAGACACGGAAATAACGAGGAAATAACGAGGAATTAATATTTAGGTGTATGGATGTTTCGGATGTTACTTCTTAGAGTGTTTTCCAGGTACAAATTACGAATAATTACCAACAATAATAGTTAGCATGGCTTACAAATTTGTCATAATGAACTCAAATTATGTATATATTATACAGTTATAGCTTACTATATTCGTTTTTATGCTAATCAGTGAAATTCACAGGGAATCTTCTCTTCAAATGGGGAGATGAGGAATTATCGACACTAAACCCCATAGAATTGTATTTTTCATGATTTATCGATGGATCGTATGTAGTGGGGATTGCATATTCCTCGTCGTCGTCCTCGTCGTCGTCGTCCTCGTCGTCGTCATCCTCGTCGTCGTCATCCTCGTCGTCATCTTCTTCTTCTTCTTGTTGTATGTTATCATCTTCTTCTACGTCGTCGTCTACAACGTTATGTTCGCCTGCTTCGTAGTATGAGTTGTCTTCGTTGGCAAAATATATAACCTCATCATCAGGAGAGATGTTTTTACCCATCAATTGGATCAATTGGGCGTAATACAAATCCAAGACGTCTTTTGCGAATTTGATGCTCGACTTGCCATTTTCCAACTGCTTCGCGGGCACACACCTCCAGTCGACTCGATTCAAGAAATCGAGTTCCAAACAGTTCAATTCGCTAATGGCCACACCTCCGACTTTTGCATAATGCTCGTTTGTGTAGAAGAAGTCCTCCATCAGCTTCTGTGCGACCATGGTGGCCACGAGAAGAAACCGGTGCACTGTCCACGAATTGAGGGTGAAAAACGGCTGATAATGATGCGACAATAAATCAATGTAGTAGATGGTGGTCAAGAGAGTTGCAGCCGTAAAGTTGTTAAACTTTGTCAATCTAGTTAAATATGTGTGAATGGATATTCCTGGCGGTGTACGTGAGTGGTACCGGGTTAATACCCTGTTGCTCGATGACGATTTTTCCTGGGGGTTTGATATTGACGCCGGAACGCTCTTATCGTTTAAGTTTATCAACGACCCCAACATTCTCGATAAAAGATTTATTAAATCATCTATTGCACATTCCATGAATTCCTTCGTCAACTTTTTGGTGACCTGTTTGAGTTTTGTCTCAGGGTATGAATTCGTGTCTGCCGGCGACTCTGTTGCAGTTACCGTCCCAGCCGGCCGTATCGCTTCTTCATTTTCTTCGTTCTTCGTCCTCTGTTCGTCCCTCCGTTTCCGTATTATCGGTATTATGTCTTCTTCAACATTTCTCTTCTGATGCAAGTTTTCGTACGTCTCGTCTTCCTTCCTCTTGGCTGGCTCGCTTTTACTCTTCACCAAGTACTTTTCATATATATCGTACGTCTTATCCGTCCGATGCTTATCTATCGACTTGAAATATATTTCATGGCTACTCAATGAATTCTTACGTTGTGGTTGCTTCATGTACTGGGAAAGAAACGAACCGGGCATTACCCTGCTCGTCGCACCCCCTCCCATCATTGGGCCCTCTGTCACCTTATTTTCTTCTTCAGCGCATCCCATTGTTATGTCTGGACTTCTTTTTGGCGTACTCAACAAACTTATTGATCTTGTCGTTGTTGTCCTATGCAAATACCCTCGATCATGAGGTGATGAAAATGGTGATACTCTTTGTAGTAAGCTCATATATATTTATATGTATATAGATAAGAAAGGTATATTACAATTACGTACAGAACTAGACTTGCTTGTAATATATTTTCAATCTATAATTTCAGGAATTAGCTTGTTATAAATATCCCATAATATGGCCATTAACAAGAAGAAATCAATCATTGAGAGAAACGTTTTCACTATAAAAATGTGGTATGGCTATATAGAGGATCATCGCACCAATTTAACACGTGCCCTCGTAGCCAATCTTTTCGCTTGGCTCAACCGACTGGACCAGAGAACTGCTATCGAGTGGAAGCCAAACCTTCGTTAGTGATAGTTGGATAACTCGTAAACTAGTATTCTGATACATCAGAGGAGTGTCATATAATTCTAACTTGCACGAATTCTTTTGTGTACAAAAACACAGACCTCACTCTTGACATATCTTAATTACGAGAGCACGTGTAGTCATTTCCTGCAGTTACGAAGGCTATGTAGATAAGACGAGCTTCTGGAAGAGGGAAGTTTGAGTTTGAAGTATTTTGATGTCAAGAGAGAAGAAAAATACGCAAATTGAATGCGTCATTCTGAAGCATTTTTGGATCGCAGTAGATAGCTTAGCATGTAGTGGTGGATTTGGTCAACGGAGAGATTATTGAATAAATTGTTGCGTGATCCGGGTAGTGTATAGTGATTGTAGAGGAGTTAGGAAACGGTTAAAAAAAAAAGAAAAAAGATATTGACTCCGACGAGGTTCGAACTCGTGCATCTTTACGATAGTAGAACTTGAGTCTACCGCCTTAACCACTCGGCCACAGAGCCTCTTTTTATAAGGATTCGTTTTCGAATGCTCAAGTGACATCCATTTTGTTTACTGTACTTGTTATCGAGATAATCGTATCGCATCACAACATTATTCATAATCCTTGTTGAGACGATTATATCACAGCATATCAATAAAACGTTGTTCAAGTAGCTAACTGTTGTGCAAGAAACCAAAAATAGGTAATACAACTTCTGATGTCTGCATATTTAACCTCGCTGATTTCTCCACAACCTTATTGAACGCAATTTTTTTATGGGAAACATGCAAATTAAGGCCACGAAACCGGACAGAAATCCTCGTGCGGTCAAACTATCGTACGTATTCATAGACCTTCACCGAGAAAGCATTTACTAACTGAATAGTTGCAAATCGTGTCGAGCAAAAAAGATCAAGTGTGATTTGCAAGTTCCTTGTGGTCATTGCATCAAACATGACCGCTGCTGTGAACCTACAACTTCAGATTTGAGAAGAAAAAACTATTCGCATACATATGTTAAGTCGCTAGAATATCGAGTATCCAAACTAGAACACGTTTTAAAGAAATTGCAGGATTGTCCACTAGAGGATCACTCTCCCATATTGAATTCCCTTAATCTTAGTGATTTAGCAAGTAATGACGAGATATACCCGACTTTATCTGAATATAATGAGACGTCGAGTTCAGTAGACCAGTCAAATCTGACAGGTTATGGCCCATTATCTGTTTATTATGATAAAATAATCGAAACGGTATCTGCTTCTTATTCAGAATATTCAAATTCTTTAAATGACACGATTAAGCTCAAGAAGAACCTGGGAGTATGTGAGAAAATATCAACTTTTTTTAAATGGCAGTATACGGATCACTTCACTTTTATTCACAGAGACTCCTTTTTGACTGAATTTTTCGATGTTAAGTATGACAATAATACAAATTCGCAGACATGTACCTATTGCTCCAAAGAATTAGTATATAGCATAGTGGCTCTCAGTTCTAAAATATCAAGTGTCCAGCAAGTTGAGTCTGAATCCTATGAATATTATAATAAAGCAAGAAGAATAGTATTTGATAAGCTAAATGTACCTAAAATAACAACAATACAAACGTTATTATGCCTCGCATTCTACGATTTGGGCGAGGGGGACAATTCTTCGGCTTGGCTTCTTAGTGGAATAGCGTTTAGAATGGGCATTGATATAGGATTTCAATTGAATCCACAAAATTGGCATATTAATAATAAGGATGTTTTGTCCGCTCAAGATATTGAAATTAGGAAACGAATATACTGGGGCTGTTATACTGCGGACCATTTTATAAGCTTGTTATTGGGTAGACCATGTCAGCTACGACTCTCAATTTCAACTATTCCGCATTCCGATAACCTACCTTTACCGAAGAATATTGAAAGTTTCGAATTTTATGATCCAAGTTTTAGGTATAAAGTTGCTTTACCGCTAAAAAAGAATGTAAGTATGTTATCACTATCAGCTCATTATTTTTATAAAATATTCATTGATAAAAAAAGTGTTAAGATAAATGAACTACATGAATATAATCATGAAATAATGAAATGGAGGAGAGAATTGCCAGAAACGTTATCATGGAATCAAAAAAATTTGAAGTCAGACAAGTACGATCCGTGTGTTATGGGGCTACGTTATACTTATTACATCATGTTGCTATGCTTCAATCGGCCATTTCTTTCCTCTTCCAGAGATTATTCAAATAATTCACCAATGCTGATTTGTCACGAAACAATCGACGACCTATACATTGTGATACTGAAATTTTTAAAAGATTTTAATTCTACGGAGAAGACTTCATTATTGATTACTTATGCTTCAATTATGTCCATCAGTGTTATCTTGAGTTCGCTTGAAAATTCACCTAATGAGGAATTCGACATAAAATTGGACTTGTTTCCAAAGATTTTGAAATTTGGAAATTGGAAGTTATCCAGGAAGAGTTTTGAACTTATTTCTCTTAATATGAACAACCCTGATAAAGGAAAGGCTGATAATAATAGAAATGCTCATTTAGAATCAAAAGACTTTTCGACTCATGACATAATACAAGTCAATGGGCTGGAAGATTTCTTTGGAGACTTTGCTATACCAAGTTTAGAAAGCTTTATCAATTTTAATGAAGACTTGTTTAATATAAACGATACTTTAGGTTTTGCTGATTTGTTCGACTAATTGAATTATTTTCATTCTCAGTAAATTCTATGACTGAACAGATAACGCTTTATATTAAATATAAAATAGCTACAGAATATTTTTTTCATCACCAATTTCTTTGCATATATTCAAAACATTCACTTTATTCGCAGAAGTAAATTAGATCATATACTGGAAATGAATAGATTTATCACCCATGCGCTGGTCGTCTTCTTTTTCTTGGATTAGGAGTAACAGGCGATCCCGATTTATGCGGTAAAATATGTATGATTGAATTCCAGCCGTTAAACAAGACACCACTAAGCAGCCAATAGTAAATGCATGGCCCAATATGTATGGGGAAGACCTGTAAACGAGTGGAGCAATGATGCCGGCAACATTTCCAAAAGTTTGATTGGCTGCGATGGATGTAGATCTCTTATCGATAGGGGCAGAATTTCCTGCTAACCATGTTTCATTAAGTCCCACATTCAGATATAAAGCAAAAGTAATGAGGTAACAGGCAAAATATTTTACTGAATTATCATGCACTGCTAATAAGATAATATATCCAGATATACTGATAAGATTCAAAAATATTATCACCGGTCCACGAATTTTCCACCGATCAGACAAGATTGCAACCGTTAAGAAAATCCCCCCAGCTAAGATATAAACTGGAATTGTCAAGTATTGAGCCTCTAAATTGTCAAATCCAATTCCATATAATATAGAAGGTAAGAATGTAGTAAAACCATACATGCAAATATCTTGACAGAATTGAATAATAATTGAAAAGTAAAGCTTTGAATCCGTAAAGGCCTCCTTCACCTGGCTTTTATCAAATTTACCAGAGCCTAAGAATAATGCTCTTCTTTCTACTCTTTTATCCCAAATTTTACGTTCCTTCTCATTTGTTGCAAGATACCGAGGATAACTTGGTAAAAAGAAGAAAACGAAGCAAACGGCAACCATTGTTAATAATCCTTCAATTAAATAAAGATATTTCCATCTAGAAAGAGGACCTGAATTGATTTCAGTTATCCCAGTTGCTATTAACCCACCAAATGCAGATGAAAATGCAGAAAAAATAAAAAGATATGCAAACCTTCTACCCATTTCATTTGGCTGATACGTATTTGATATGTAAACTGACAAGCATGAATAGAAAGACCCTTCGAAAAGGCCAATCAAAACTCGTGTTGCAACCAACGAACCATAATTGTTGACAAAAATGCTAAATATGGTTACTAGTGCCCATGCCGACATCATACCCGCCAAATAGTGATTGGCTTTGAACATTCTAAATAATAAGACACCTGGAATTTGAACAGTAATATAAGTTGCATATAAAACTGAACTTGCAGTAGAAAATTGACTATCTGTCAAGTTTATGTCTTCCATCAAGCCAGCGAGTTTAGCATTACCTATATTTGATCTATCTAAGTATGAAAAAAAATACATTGAACCAAACATTGGCATTAATAGTAGATCCATTTTTCGGATGAACTTTTTTTCTGCAACTATGTTTTCTTTGGCTCGAGTTTCATTTGGCTCAACCTCACTAACACTATATATGGTATTCACTTTTTCTGTATTCATATTTTCAACATATTGTAATTACCAATTTTTAAAGATAGGTATGATTATCAGTATATATATATTTAAGGTCTGAAGAACATGATATTATCGTTATCTTTATATTATGCATGTTGTGCATATAGTGTAAATAAGCAATATCAGTTCCTCCACTGCTCCACTTTTGACTCGGAGAATATGTCCGTCAAATTGTCAAGTCAAGAAGATTTATGCTGAGTTAATAGTAAAAAAAAATCCTGTCGCTTTTAACCCACAAAAGGGGTGCATTTTTATTATAACTAACAATAAGCTAAAAGTGGCGATAGAAAAAACACGCCTTTTTCAACACAAATTTTATGATTGTGATCGGACAAATTGTCCGAAAAATTATATAATGAATATATCTCTGGAATATTGTACCTACTGAGTTCGTTTTGGCGTGTAGTTCTTAGAAAGCATGATGTCTGCCGCTCATTATTTTAGACTTAAGTTCAGATCTGGTAGACATTCTACCCATACATCAGGACTTTGTCCTGGTTTTGGACAAGGAAATTTGATTGTGTTACCAGAAGAAGCAGCGGACGATTTCATTGATTTATGTTACAGAAATCCTGTTTTTTGTCCTTTATTAGGTCAAACTCCTGTTGGAAACCCGCGAGAAATAGATAATAAGGGTGTTATTAATGATAATGATTTTAATATAACTACCGACATTCCCAAATATAATATATATGAGCATGGAAAGCTTCTTTCTAGCAAAGGAGATATTAGAGAGGAGTGGTGTAGCAATCATATAGCTTTTATCATAGGTTGTTCATTTTCCTTTGAACATGCCCTTGGTGATAATGATCTTACACCCAAGCATTCTTTAGTTGGTTCGAATGTTTCAATGTTTCGAACAAATATACTACTCAATCCTGCTGGTATTTTCAAAAATTGTCATGCTGTCGTAAGTATGCGACCGTATAAATATACAGATATTGAAAAGATTCGCAATATTAGTAGAAAATTTAGAAAAACTCATGGGGAACCAATTGACTGGGGATTTGACGCAATCGAACGTTTAGGCATACAAGATCTAAATAATCCAGAATATGGAGATGCGATTGAAATCGATGATGATGAAATTCCTATTTTCTGGGGATGCGGTGTTACACCTCAAACTGCGGTTGAGCAAGTTGGTGATGTAATTAGAGGAAAAGTTATGGGCCATTCACCAGGTCATATGTTAATTTTAGATATTAAGGACAATGAAATCATAAATTTGTAACTACAATTCATTTCTCTGTTTTTATCTTTTTTTAGAACTACAATATACTTATTCGAGAATTATTATGCAATAACTTTTATTAGAGGCATTATAGAAATGGAGTACTCTGGATTTGACAAACTTGCAGGTAGGCTGCTTCATTTTTTAATGTGAATTTGTTTGTTTTATTTCAAAACTGCATATGATGTAACCCCAATTTGACATTTTGCAATAATCGGACAATATGTCCGATGGTAAAAGGTGTCAACGGATTGTATAACCCTTAATAAAATTACGTATATATATATATAAGTGACCATGATTTCCTAATTTCAATTATTTAAGATGACATTATAATTCATACAGATAAAACATGAATAATTTAGGAATTGAAATAGCTATCGATAGAGGTGGGACCTTCTGTGATATTATCTCTAAAATCCCAAATCAACAAGACTATGTATTCAAATTATTATCAGTTGACCCTCAGAACTATGAAGATGCTCCGACGGAAGGAATAAGGAGGGTGTTGGAACGTGCACAGAACACTAGTATCCCGAAACACGAAAAATTGAAGTTGGATTTTATTAAAAGTATTAGAATGGGTACAACAGTGGCTACTAATGCTTTATTAGAGAGAAAAGGGTCTGAAGTTTGTTTGATTACTACAAAAGGGTTTAGAGATGTATTGTCAATTGGGAATCAAACAAGGCCTAATATCTTCGACTTGAAAGCGAAGAAACTAGACCATTTATATAAAGCTGTCCTTGAAATTGATGAGAGAGTTACTATTGAAGATTTCATCGAGGGAAAGAATATAGTATCAAAAATTAATCCTGATTACGACCAAACTTTAGTCAAAGGAATCGCAGGAGATTTAGTAAGAATTATAAAGAAGCCCGACTACAATGATATTCAGCAAGAATTAGAAGCCTTATATAAAAAGGGAGAGATTAAATGTATTGCATTATGCTTGTTGCATTCATATGTTTTTCCACAGCATGAATCTGAAATTGCAAAAATTTGTAGAAAAATTGGATTCGAAGTCTCTGTATCTCATGAATTACAGCCTATGATAGGGATGGTTAATAGAACATCTTCGACTGTTGCAGATGCATACTTAACGCCTATTATCAAGGAATATTTGAACAGTTTTGGATCGGGATTCGAAGGTGGGTTAGAAGCTTTTGGTAATAAGTTATTATTTATGCAAAGCAATGGCGGCTTGTGTCCATGGTATAAATTCACAGGTTTGAAAGCAATCTTATCGGGCCCTGCGGGGGGTATGGTTGGCTATGGTAAAACCTGCTTCGATTCAGGCGAATTTAAGGCAACAATTGGTTTTGATGCAGGCGGTACATCTACCGATGTTTCAAGGTTTTCAGGAAAGTTTAACCATATATTTGAATCAGTAGTAAGTGAAGTCAGTTTACAGACACCACAACTTGATATTTCTACGGTTGCAGCAGGTGGTGGATCAAAGCTATTTTGGAAAAATGGAATGTTTGTAGTGGGGCCTGAGTCAGCAGGTTCCAACCCGGGGCCTGCTTGTTATAGAAAAGGAGGACCTTTGACAGTGACTGATGCTAACTTATATTTATGTAGATTATTGCCTGAATATTTCCCCCAAATTTTCGGTCCAAACCAGGATGAACCGTTAGATTACGAAGTAACTGCCAAAAAATTCGAGGAATTAACTTATGACATTAATCAAGATAAAAGAGCTGAAGGAGTTAAATTAACACCTGAAGAAGTTGCAAGTGGATTTTTAAAAATTGCTGTTGAATCTATGTGTCGGCCAATTAGGGCTTTGACTGAAGCAAAAGGATTTAGCACTCAAGACCATAACTTAGCATGCTTCGGTGGTTCTGGTGGACAATTTTCGGTTTCATTATGCAAAAACTTAGGAATTGAACGAGTTGTCATACATAAATATTCCTCATTGCTATCAGCCTATGGGATTTATTTGGCTGATATTCTTATTGAGAAACAATCTCCAGCTTCGTGGACTTTCGAAGAAAAGAACTTTGTTGAGTTAGATAATAAGGTGAATAATTTAGTCAGCCAAGTGTATGAGGACTGTTCCAAGCAAAACTTAAATCAATTTTCCAACAAGCTAGAAGTCTACTTAAATATGAAATATATAGGGACGGACACACATTTGTTGATACCAAAGTGTGAGGGAGAGTATGATTGTGCTGCAAAATTTATTGAAAGACATCAAAGTGAATTCGGCTTCAAATTAGATAGGAATATTATGGTCGATGATGTACAAGTATTATTAATTATGCGAAGGTCAAAAGATAACAACATCAATCCATTTGAAGAATATAATAAGTTGCAAGCTGTTAGAATTGCAGATAGTCCTATAGAGACTAAAAGAGTATATTTCGAAAACCATGGTTGGCTCCCATCACCTGTTTACAATTTGAATGATTTAAATTTAAAAGTAGGAAAGGTTGTAAAAGGACCTGCTATAATAATTGATGATACTCAAACTATATTAATTGAACCACAATCAAAAGCAGTATCACTCAAGGAACATATATTGATCGAGGTTGATAAGGAAAAGGAAATTAATATCTCAAGCAGAAAAGTAGATCCTATTCAGTTATCTGTCTTTGCTCACAGATTTATGTCAATTGCGGAACAAATGGGTAACACATTACAACAAACTGCTATATCAACTAATATCAAAGAAAGACTAGATTTTTCCTGTGCTGTATTCGATAGTAATGGCGATTTAGTAGCTAACGCACCACACGTTCCAATCCATTTAGGTGCTATGTCTTTTGCTGTCAAATCCCAGATGAACATCTGGGATGGAAAATTAGAACAAGGAGATGTATTGGTTTCAAACCATCCTATAGCTGGTGGATCTCATTTACCCGATATAACGGTAATTACGCCTGTTCTAGATGAAAAGAATAAACCAATATTTTGGACAGCTTCAAGGGGACATCATGCTGACATAGGATCTATTTCGGCCGGTAGTATGCCACCAGATTCGAAATCTATTCATCAGGAAGGAGCGGCTATCGTGACCCATAAATTATGTGTTAAAGGAAATTTCGATGAAGATGGGATTACAAGGCTTCTATTAGATGAACCTTCGACATATCCTGGCTGTTCAGGGACTAGAGCATTAAGTGATAACATATCAGATTTAAAGGCACAGGTAGCAGCTAATTACAAAGGCATTTCTTTATTGAATAATTTGCTAGAATATTTCGGATACCCAGTTCTAAGTTTATATATGTCAGCTATTCAGTCCACTGCAAGTGAATCTGTGAGAAACTTATTGAAATTGACCAATGAAAAATTCAAGGGTAAGAAATTGCACGCAGTTGATCATTTAGATGATGGTACACCAATTTCTGTAATAATTTCTATCGATTCTGATACTGGTAATGCAATTTTCGATTTTACCAATTCTGGAAATGAGATTTATGGTAATTTGAATGCACCAAAAGCGGTATTATATTCTGCAATTCTATATGTCATAAGATCTATGATCAGCGAAGATATACCATTAAACAATGGATGTTTAGCTCCTGTAAAGGTCATAACAAGACATGGATCTTTAATAGATCCTTCTTCGGAGGCTGCTGTGGTAGGTGGTAATGTTGAGACATCTCAGAGAATTGTGGATGTCCTTTTAAAAGCTTTCGGAGCAGTTGCCGCATCGCAAGGGACTTGCAATAACTTTACCTTTGGAATCAATGATACTGAAAACAATGTTTCTTTTGGGTATTATGAAACTATTTGTGGGGGCTCTGGTGCAGGTCCAAGCTGGAACGGTCAAAATGCTGTCCAGTGTCATACGACCAATACCAGAATGACTGACGTTGAAATATTTGAAAAGCGCTATCCTGTTATATTACATGAATTTACGATCAGACATGGATCTGGAGGTGTCGGTGAACATAGTGGTGGTAACGGAATAATCAGAGATATTGAATTTACCATTAAAAATTTGGAAGTATCATGCTTGATGGAGAGAAGGTCAATTGCACCATTTGGTTTATCAGGAGGTAAACCCGGTTTGAGAGGGCCAAATTATTGGTGCAGAAAATTAATGTCTTCGAATACTTATCGAAAAATTTCTCTCGGTGGCAGATGTTCACTTAAGGTGAACAAAGGAGACCGTATAATTATCATGACTCCTGGTGGTGGTGGATATGGATGTAAAAATCCTATTAATACTTAATAGTTGAGTACCCCTAAATCAATAGATATAATATATCGAATTACTGTGCAAGGATGCCACTGAAGGAAAGTAAATGATATAATTCTTGAAGTAATTTCTCTAAAGGGGAACTCATTTCAGTATTCATTTTTATCTTTTTCAATTTTTACACAATATAACAGTTTTAAACAATAATCAATAATCCATAATCAATAATCAATATTCAATAATATCAAATATATATTACTTACTATCTAAAATACAATCTGAATACCTTTCAGATTGACGTTCTTATATAGTAGAATATTGGGATTACTTAATTAGGCTCTTTACCATTAATAGTAATTAATTTTCTCAGGATAATTAAAGTTCATTACTCAAAC